CTCTCTCTCTCTCTCTCTCTCTCTCTCTCTCTCACACACACACACACACACACACCGCTCTCTCTCTCTCTCTCACACACACGCACGCACGCACGCACGCACAAACACACGCACACTCGGCAATCAGCAGAGCGTCCCAAGTCGCAATCATGCGTGTACGTGTCGCAAGATCACTGTGTGAGATGGATGTCCGGACGCGTAGCCTAGCGGCTCCTCGTCCGGAACCGGTCGCGTAGCCACGGCCTAATATTAATAACACGCCGTGTGATCATTTAATAATTAATTAGATTGTGTGTTGTGGCATTGCTGATTCACCCGCCATTCATCTGATTTAGCTTGAGCAACCCAAAGCAGTAAATGACTAGTATAATATACTTACTTCTCTAGATCAGACCTTCAAGTTAAATTTCTTTATTTTGTTTGAGTTGGTTTATTCATCAAACAGAAATAAGATCAATGATTGTAATTTAACGTATGGCTCAAGATTGATTCCATGCCCCTCTGTGTTGTGCTGAGCTACTGTGGCTGTAGCTTTGCTAATAACAATGCTGTTATGTAAAATACCCTCCCCCCACACACCAAATCTATCTGTTACTGTTATATATATATATACATACATAAAAGATATATTTGTTATGCCACGTCCCCACGTTACTTTGATTAAAAGTGCCGCTCTTGGTGTCGATAATCTGTGTGCGTGTGTGTGCTGTACCCTTATTGGGGTCCGAAATACTAGGTTTGCAGCACTGGACTGATATCGGAGCTAATGAAATCCCTGTGCGAGAGTTCACGTTGTTTTTCAATGATATTTCGTGTTGGGATTTTATTTTCTTAATGATCAGAACATAGTGCTTCTCTTTCCTTTAATAGCGTGTCCGTTTTCTGTTGGTGTCAGTACTACGGCCTCGACGTCAATAACATTAGCAAAGAACGTGAAACCTATCCTGTGGCGGTTGTTGGTTGTTTCTTCTTATGAGCTAATTCAGGTAAATTAAACAGCAAACGGTTTAGTCACGCGGTAGTTTATAATCAATAATGTCTTATTTTAGGTTCATTTATAATGTCGGTATACGTGCGGATTTAATTTTAAATGGCAGTGCCTGGTAATGTCTGATACAGCGTGCTCTACTCTCATAGCAAGGAATTACTGTATGAAAATGACCTAGTGTTCAGTAGGCTGTGCCAGCCGAGTCAATTTAGTGTGTAATTGAGAGTAAACGATGTGTACCTAAAGGATTTTCCTCAGACATCAGCTGCTGGTGAAACACAGTTATTTATTTATTTAGTAAGCTGACACGGTTATCACTAATTAGTAGCATTGCAACAAGCTGTGTGATCCACATTAGAATCGGTGTCACGAGAAATGCGACATGAGAAAGTGCCCGATAGAGATGACCGATTTTGACCTACTTGCTACACAATATTTTTTTATTATAAATTCGTAGCGGATGGGGAGCCTCACGAATTCTAAACCCAGTAGGGAAGAAGAGAGGAAGCCTGCATGTTGTTCCCTCCTTCCCCACGTGTTTCTTGTAACTAACACCGTATGACCCCAGCATGCACCACTATAATCGAGTAGGCTATGATATCCTAACACCGTCTTACTCCAGCATGTACCACTATCATCGACTAGGCTATGATGACCTAACACCGCATTACCCCAGCATGTGCCCCACTATAATCGACTGGGCTATGATATCCTAACAACGTATCACCCCAGCCCTGCTATCGCGATGTACCAGCCGTCGTTTCCGCGGTGTTTGACGGCGTCGCGTGTTTTGTATTTGACGTAAGGAGGCGAAGGTGACCCTGGGCGACGCGACGAGGCAGCACGACGGGATGAATCTGAACACGGACAGAGCGTCGATGCTCCCGGTCGAGGAGGTCGTCACATCTCTCGGCACCGATCTCAGGTGAAGATGGCCGCCGACACGAGGGTTGGCCTCAACGCACATAGATCTAGTAGCAGTATTAGCAGCAGCAGCAGCAGCAGCAGTAGCAGTAGCAATAGCAGCAGCAGCAGCAGCAGTAGCAGTAGCAATAGCAGCAGCAGTAGCAGTATTAGTAGCTGCAGCAGCAGTAGCAGTAGTAGCAGCAGCAGTAGCAGTATTAGTAGCTGTAGCAGCAGTAGCAGTAGCAGCAGCAGCAGCAGTAGCAGCAGCAGCAGCAGTAGCAGTAGCAGTAGCAGTAGCAGTAGCAGTAGCAGTAGCAGCAGCAGTATCAGCAGCAGCAGTAGCAGTAGCAGTAGCAGCAGCAGCAGTAGCAGTAGTATCACTTATATTTATAATTATAAAGAAATATATTATTTATAAGTAAAAAAACTATCGTGTGCACTTGATTCTGTAGTCGAGTAGCTTTCGTAGGCGTGACATGATCGAGTGCGGGCGCTGATTTGCTTTTTTTTCTCGTCGTAAAAGATGTGGATTGTCGTATAAGGATGCCGAGCACCGTCGACGAATGCACGGCTTCAACGATTTCGATATCAAGCCGGATGATCCGCTCTGGAAGAAATACCTGGAGCAGGTTAGTACGTGTGACAAAGCTGCGACCAGTGCAACTTTCGCACTTGATTTTGATTTCGAGCGTGGCAGATTTAAGCGTTTGGGGATGCAATTTTGTGGCATGAAAAAGCCGTTTTGAATATTATTTTTTCTATAATTTATGAGTGCAAGAATCTTTTATTTTTAAACACTTGTGACATTTCTCTGTTCTTTTATTGAAAATTATATAAGTATTTCTATATAAATTGGACTTTGCTTGTAGTTAGGAGAATGTGCGTGAAAGATATACGTTTCCATAGAATGTAGTGAAGAGTTAGGAATAAGTATAACGTAAATAAAGGTGTTTTAACCCTTTTGCAGTTTCGGCAGCCCCTCATATTGCTGCTCCTGGCTTCAGCCTTTGTCAGTATATGTATGAAGCAGATTGACGATGCAATATCTATTACTACGGTGAGTAAACTTACGTTATTACTCACAAATGCACTCAAGGGGATATTACTAGCATTATTAAAGCAGTCCAGTCTAAATTGCTGAGACTTACATAAGTGTTTCAGCTATCTTATTCGTATTCTGAACTTTTAATCATTAATTTGAAATAATTTTGCATGTTATACTAGAATAATAGAAGATAGTTGGTGGGATACGAAACAAAAGCCGTTAACATAATCTTGTAAATATGGTGTAGTTAGATCCAAACCCTTACCACGCACATGAACTCCTGTAGGTACAAGTAATCTAAAGCGACAGTGTTATGCCAGTAATAACATGTCTACTTGTAGGACGGGCAACATCAAAAATTACTGCCTTGTCTGTCGTTGTCTCACGGTTTTGTTTTTACTTCCAGGCAATCATTATTGTAGTGACCGTAGCATTTGTGCAGGAATACAGATCTGAGCAGTCGCTGGCTGAACTCAAGAAGCTGGTGCCACCAAAGTGCCATTGGTGAGCGTTCGTGTGTTTATAGTATACTGCCGTACTGTCTATAAACGAGATATTTGACGTGTCTGTCGAGTAGAACTTATGTAGAGTAACCAGCGCCATCGAACGAATAGACTTCTATCTATTAAGGACACTTGCGATGGTGGTGGTGGGGGGGTTCTCTTGCTTGACTATGTGCATGTTTATATTGTTTATGCATGTGTACATTTTTTAATTATCAACTTATATACATGTTTGATCGTGGTTTGATTGCGCTTGCTGTCATTGCGGTCTTATTTCTGCTTTCGTTGTGCCTTCACTAATGACTGAGCCTCGTTATCATTGCAGTATACGGGAGGGAAAGCTTGTAATCTTTCGTTGTACCTTCGCTAATAACTAAGCCTCATCATTGCAGCATACGGGAGGGAAAGCTTGTAATCTTTCGTTGTACCTTCACTAATGACTAAGCCTCGTCATTGCAGCATACGGGAGGGAAAGCTTGTAATCTTTCGTTGTACCTTCACTAATGACTAAGCCTCGTTATCATTGCAGCATACGGGAGGGAAAGCTTGTAATCTTTCGTTGTACCTTCACTAATGACTAAGCCTCGTTATCATTGCAGCATACGGGAGG